TGACAGTGTTTCATATAAATTTGAATCAAATGGTTTCTTTAGATGGTAGAAAGAAATAATTATCTTTGGAATTACATCCTGTTTTTGCTGATATTTGTGGTAAACATTATAGTAAAACTGTCTGTCAAGAAAGTTCCCGTGAACACAATTATATAGATACTTTATAATTTTATTTAGTTTTTCTGTTGAAGTATTTTAAAGACTTTTCTTTTAACATTTTAAACGCTTTATCCTATAATTTCGTATCTCTAAGAACTCCTTGAATAAAAAATAGTTTACTGAACTCTTAGTAATGAATGAATAATATAATAAGTGGATCATATTTAAAGATGAGTTTGCACGTTCTTACTTTCCATTTGTCGGTGGATTGTAAAAGAACCAACCATGTGTTCCAGAAGTATGCCGACCGTATGGATTCAATGTGTTTGTTCTACAATAAATGAAAAGAAAGTAAGAACCCTGTAGAACAGAAAATAAAGCAAAATTGTAACATTAAAGCATTAATAAGAACTCATATGAATATATATATATATGCAAACATTTCGTCCTAAGTTTCCGCTTTAAACTATTATATATGGACGACATTACAAACAACAAAAACAAAACCTGGGCTACGTTCACACACTTGCCCTGGGCACTCTGATTATTGACAGTAACTAGTTTGCCAAAACAGTTTAACCATCCACGCACTTACGAAAGGAGAAATTTCTAAAGACATTTTAACTAAATTATGTAACTAGAGACATAAACTTTTGTTCTTATCTGTTAACGTGCGTTTCATTGCAATTTGATAGAATTGAAAAATATTTAAATTAACATAAATGAAAGCAAGTACTATACGAGAAAATGGATGAATAACCAACGACCTCCTTTTAAATTTCCATTTTTTGTAGTTCCGCCAATTGAGCATACGCATTGTTTTATTTTGGAACCATACGTTGCTTTCCATGGAATGTTACGGACGTATTACATTGAAGGTTTCATGATTACTCTGCTGATGTTTGTAAATTCTAACTTTTATCAGTTTATGGTAAAATGTTGAATTCTGATTAAGCCGGTACAATGGAGTATGAACGTTAGCTTGCAAATACCTAGAACACTGAACAGATTTATTTAAACCATCCCTTCGTTATCTTCAAACTTGCCGTTTTAGTATTTCCTTCTACTACTGCGACCTGTCATGAAAATTGTATGGACTAGAAAGTATGCTAAGACTAAGCTAGCGGTATTAATTCAGTATTATTGGCTCAGTTAACCATGCTCGTTTCTTTAAGGTGGGGTTGGTGGGGTGGGGCAGGGTAATGGGAGGAAAGTGCAACCTTACCAGGATCAGCAAATGTTATTTAATACAAATCAGCTAGTAATAGTAGAACTAGGAAGGATAGATAAACAGTTCATTTTTTCAAAATTTGTATAACTGGAGAAAATAGATTCCTGATGATGTTACTTGCCATTATCATCCCAGTTGCTTTTGAAAGTTTTTCTGAACAGAATGAAACTATCTTACATGCTGAAATAGCTAAAAGGTAATCTTTCAAAGCGTTTAAAGTAAGTAATGAACCAATGATGCCGAATGACCAGGAAAATATAACAACATTTAAGTGAAGTACGGGGCACTTTTTAAAACTGCCACACGGCACTTGCATCTGCGGCTGTAAAGGTATAAAATATCTCTTTGATATAAAAAACAACAACGACAAAACAACACTAGAAAATAAACCATATTAAAATTGAAAACTGACTTTGATAGTAAAACAAGGGAATAAATTGCATTAAGTTGAAAACTCACTTTGATAGAAACGCACGAGGAAAATGAACCATGTTAAAGTTGTAGTTGTTACATAGCATTCTCGATAATGAGTATTTCTTGATGGCTGAGATTTGTCCTGTATAAAATAAACAAATGAGCCGCGTCACGACAAAACCAACATAATGGGTTTGCGACCAGCATGGATCCAGACCAGCCTGCGCATCCGCGCAGTCTGATCAGGATCCATGCTGTTCGCTATCAGTTTCTCGACTTGTAAAAGGGTTGGTAAGCGAACAGCATGGATCCTGATCAGACTGCGCGTATGCGCAGGCTGGTCTGGATCCATGCTGGTCGCAAACCCATTAATGCTGGTTTTGTCGTGACGCGGCACATATAATTATGAGTTAACAGAAATAACTTCTGCCGTATAGTTCATTAGTTACGACAGTCATCAGTCTGTCATTGTTTAAAAATCACTGTCAATGCTTATCAATATCTGTCAATATTTAATGTTCTGAGCACCTCTAAAGGGACGCTACTGATGGTTTTTGGCATGTCGAGACTGGAAATATTTTCTGAAGATTTGCGTACCATTTTATGAAGTAAAGCAATAATTTTCTGATCATTCGCTCACTCTGTTTCCCAAAATTGTCTCTGTAATTGTGCAAGCTGATAAAAAAATTGGTATACAAACACTCTTATCTCAAACCGGACTAAGAAGCGAACAAAATGATCGATTTTCAATTTGAGTGTTTGCATATTACACTATTTAAACATATTATATTACGTTGTAAATTGTTTTCTTCCTTGTTTTATTTCTTGCATTCTTTCCTTGTCTATGTATAATTTACAATTTATCTGTTTTAACATTTGAGCCTCTGTAGAGCTCCTTTATGTTATTTTTGTCAAGAATAAAAGCTTATCTATCAGTAAATGTTTATGAATGACTGAGAAAATAAATATATTTGAGCCGCATCACGACAAAACCAACATAGTGCGTTTGCGACCACCATGGATCCAGACCAGCCTGTGCATCAGTTTCTCTACTTGTAATAGAGTTGGTAAGCGAACAGCATAGATCCTGATCAGAATGTGCGGATGCACAGGCTGGTCTGGATCCATAATGGACGCAAACGCACTATGTTGGTTTTGTCGTGTCGCGACTCATTTATCTTACTGTCTGTGAATCGAGCGTCTCTGTTCTGGTACCAGAACCGATCACCATATTTCAACCGCCGGAATTGTCTTCCTATTATACACTCAAACGTGGGGCCAAATTGTCCTCCTGTCACAGGCGTCTCCGACAACCCACCAGCAAATAGATCAATATCTAGTGGGGACCTGAAATATAAAGTAGGTATGTTTTAATGAAAAACCTTAATAAGATTCCAGACCAAAATGGTGTAATTTTGATTAGAACTGATTGAAATTATAGCACGGCAATTTATGTACAGTGTTGATCAAAGTTTTTCAGGATGTAGTGGTGCAACGGTAAAAACCCTTTATCAATAGATATTGCGATATACTGATTGTCATTGCGAATGATCTTATTTCAGTTTGAAAGAAATGACACAGCGCATCAGGAAGTATTTAATATAGTAAACTTAAATGTTTTTCTTCTTTTGTATCAGTCTTTATTATTTATCATAAATATTTTGTTGTGATTATGTTATGTTTGTTTGTCCTTCTTTTGTATTGTGCTTATTACTGTGTTGTATTCACTGTTGTGTTGAACTTATTATTGTGCTGTACTTACTGTTGTGTTATACTTACAATCATATTGTAATAAGTGTTGTGTTGAACTTACAGTTGTATTATACTAATTGTTGTGCTGTACTTACAGTTCTGCTATACTTACTGTTGTGTTGTTGTTCTAACTGTTGCGTTAAATAAAGAACAAGATTCTTACACTGATTGTTGAATAAGGACAGACTCGAAGAACAGTTTCAAGAGTTAAGGATTTCCTTTAAGTTTAACATAATAACTATCTGTAGATATACATCTGATACCTGCATAAGACGAATACCTGTATCCAGCGTATTTTAACTTTGATCTGGCTTTATACGAGTGGTCAACTAAACCAGAATTCCCGCCATAATAGTTCCAGTATCTGCTGACAGACGATAGGCCGCACCACTTCCTGTACTCGTTATAAGACGGAAGTCCGTGATCACGTCCTCTTTGGATGTTCAGTGCAGCAAGGTCAAATGCTATATCATTATCTCTATCTATAAATAGACGACTCCTCACAGCTTCTTCAATGATTCTAAAAATATCATTATATATTTCTACAATTGATAATGATTTTAATCTAAATTTACTCTCAAAATTAGTGCCATTTATGCCTGGCCAATGTATTAAAATATACAAATATATGCACTCCAACAAAATACGACATGCTCAGTTTTTAGAATGTACTTTATTGATGGTGAAATTCCAAATATTGATATTAAGAGTTCAAGATTTTTACATGGGATAAAAATCAAAAACAAGAAGATAAGACCTGTCTGTGTTTGGAGATTGGCTTCCTGACATGTAATATGCCAATCTCTCAAAAGCTAAAGGTTGAAATGTCAAGTCTGGGTTGTTAAAGGTGTCTTCTGTTTTCCGGTTGAAATTCGGATCGTAAATTTTCTGTAACGATCTGTCGAAAAGTCGCATTGCCTGTGGAATCCATGTATGTCCAACTCTACAACGATAATATAAAATTATAAACATTATCTTCAATACAACAGCTCTAAGTTATTTATCCCTTAATTATAACGAATGTACAAAGGCATTTATGTTAAATTTGTTAATTACTTATATGACTTCCAACGGTTATTTCGTGATAATATAAATAAAGTTTTGTTCTGCAATTTTCTACATTGTATTTACAGCAAAGATGTTGTGATGGGGTGATATTACCGTTCATTATTTTTACCTGTAAGCGATTCCAAATGCGTTCAACATGGTCGGGTTTGTATTTGGTTCATAAACATATCTTGCCGAACTCTCTAGTTGGTATTTCTTTAGTCCACTAGTAGAGAATACGGAGGCCAAAAACTCGTCGTATACAATCTTTTGCATTATGGCAATAATTATTCTTCTTGTTTCTTGAAAGATGGTTTCATTGTTACTGTAATAATCTGAAAAGTTCATACAAAATGCCATACAATGCATCATTTCTACGAGATATATCATATAGTTTCAGTTCATATAAGATGCCGCATAATTATAGTACCAGTTCATACAAGATGTATAAAACAAAACTTGTTCATACAAGATATACTATATAGTATCAGTTCATACAAGATGTTTAAAACAAAACAAGTGCATACAAGATGTATTATATATTATTTATCCATGCAATATGTATCAAACAAAACTAGTTCATACAACATATACTACAAAGTATCATTCATACAAGATGTATAGAACAGTACTTGTTCGTGTAATATATATATCAAACGAATCTAGTTCATACAAGATGTTTTATAAAGTATTTCTTCGTGTAATATATATCAAACGATTCTAGTTCATACAACATGTATTATATAGTATTTGTTCGTGTAATATATATCAAACGAATCTTGTTCATACAAGATGTATAAATATAGTATTTATCCCTGCAATACTTTTTTTAATAAAGTTTGTTCATACAAGATGTTTTGTATAGTATCAGTTTATAAAAGATGTATTATATAGTATCAGTTATACAAGATGTATTATAAAGTATCAGTTATACAAGATGTATTATATAGTATCAGTTATACAAGATGTATTATAATGTATCAGTATATAAAAGATGTATTATATAGTATCAGTTATACAAGATGTATTATATAGTATCAGTTATAAAACATGTATTATATAGTATCAGTATACAAGATGTATTATATAGTATCAGTTTATACAAGATGTATTATATAGTATCAGTTTATACAAGATGTATTATATAGTATCAGTTATACAAGATGTATTATATAGTATCAGTTTATACAAGATGTATTATATAGTATCAGTTTATACAAGATGAATTATAAAGTATCAGTTATACAAGATGTATTATATAGTATCAGTTATACAAGATGTATTATAAAGTATCAGTATATAAAAGATGTATTATATAGTATCAGTTATAAAACATGTATTATATAGTATCAGTATACAAGATGTATTATCTGGTATCAGTTTATACAAGATGTATTATATAGTATCAGTTATACAAGATGTATTATATAGTATCAGTTTATACAAGATGTATTATATAGTATCAGTTTATACAAGATGTATTATATAGTATCAGTTATACAAGATGTATTATATAGTATCAGTTTATACAAGATGTATTATATAGTATCAGTTTATACAAGATGTATTATATAGTATCAGTTTATACAAGATGTATTATATAGTATCAGTTATACAAGATGTATTATATAGTATCAGTTATACAAGATGTATTATATAGTATCAGTTATACAAGATGTATTATATAGTATCAGTTATACAAGATGTATTATATTGTATCAGTTTATACTGTCAAGATGTAAAAACAATCTTCTTTGGTCTGTAATTAAGTTATATAATCACCATATTCTATTGTTGGAGACTAGTCTAAATAACCAATCGTGAAATATCTTTATGATTAAAAAAAAACCAGTTTTTACTCTAGACCAGAAATATAAACAGTTTTAATTTTAAAGATTCATGCCGTTGTAATTGATTTATTTGGTTTTTGGCTAACTTGATATTTGTATACTGTAATTATGCCACGAGTTACAGATGAGATGATTCAGCCACTTAACGTTCCTGTAATTACGAATATAATGCATACAAGAAACTATACAGACCTTTTAGTACATCTGCAATTCTATTATGTTCCTTAACAAACAGAAAGTGATATGACGTCAATATAGACACTTCATTCACCCGGCCGTCACCTGGAGCAAAATTACAAATATTATACTTCTTTTACCCTCCCTTCACTTAAAATTAGCAAAATTACAAAATATTATAATGGAACTTCTTTTACCCTCCCTTCACTTAAAATTAGCAAAATTACAAAATATTATAATGGAACTTCTTTTACCCTCCCTTCACTTAAAATTAGCAAAATTACAAAATATTATAATGGAACTTCTTTTACCCTCCCTTCACTTAAAATTAGCAAAATTACAAAATATTATAATGGAACTTCTTTTACCCTCCCTTCACTTAAAATTAGCAAAATTACAAAATATTATAATGGAACTTCTTTTACCCTCCCTTCACTTAAAATTAGCAAAATTACAAAATATTATAATGGAACTTCTTTTACCCTCCCTTCACTTAAAATTAGCAAAATTACAAAATATTATAATGGAAACTTCTTTTACCCTCCCTTCACTTAAAATTAGCAAAATTACAAAATATTATAATGGAACTTCTTTTACCCTCCTTTCACTTAAAATTAGCAAAATTACAAAATATTATAATGGAACTTCTTTTTACCCTCCCTTCACTTAAAATTAACAAAATTACAAAATATTATAATGGAACTTCTTTTACCCTCCATTCACTTAAAATTAGCAAAATTACAAAATATTATAATGGAACTTCTTTTACCCTCCATTCACTTAAAATTAGCAAAATTACAAAATATTATAATGGAACTTCTTTTACCCTCCATTCACTTAAAATTAGCAAAATTACAAAATATTATAATGGAACTTCTTTTACCCTCCCTTCACTTAAAATTAGCAAAATTACAAAATATTATAATGGAACTTCTTTTACCCTCCATTCACTTAAAATTAGCAAAATTACAAAATATTATAATGGAACTTCTTTAACCATCCCTTCACTTAAAATTAACAAAATTACAAAATTTTAAAATGGAACTTCTTTTACCCTCCCTTCACTTAAATTAAAACAATATTGCTCATCCTAACTCAATTATAACAATATCACGATGGTCCAATTTCATATGGTTCGTCGAAATATGAATAAATGAGAAAGATATGTTGGTTGGAGGAAACCATTTTCAGGAAATTTTATATTATTTCTATTATGTATTAATAACTAAATATACTTATACCAAGACCTATATATACGTATTATTTTTATTCGTCGCATTTTAATATTTTTTGAAACTACACCATACTAGTTCTCTTATGCTTAAATTTACTTGAGTTCTAGCTAACTTATAAATATGAACTCAAAGTTGTTGTTTTTTTACCAGCTGCTGAACAGCTTTGAGTGGAATCTTGCAGGGTACAAGTATCATCCGGGCCGTTCAATATCCGTTCTTGTTTTCTGAATAAGCTTGTCGCTAAACGGTAACCTGTCCCTATAATACAGAAGGCATATTTTAAAAATAATAATAATAATTACGGTTTTAACGGAAAGAATAACTGATATTACAAGGAAACATGCAATATATACGAAAGACCGGTAGGGCCATTTCAACTTCATGAATTCCCGATTTCATCTTCATGAAGTTGAAATCGTGAATTCATGAAGTTGAAATCGTGAATTCACGAAGTTGAAATCGAGAATTCATGAAGTTGAAATTTCCCCACCGGTCTTTTGTAAATATATTATTAATTGAACTTGTCACGTGAGAATATATCATTAATTGAACCTGTCACGTGAAAATATATTATTAATTGAACTTGTCACGTGATGATAGGTCACATGATCAAGGTAGTATTAAAAAAATCGTTACTACTACTTCTTAAATATGTTCATCCTCACTTAACTGGGGACTTATGTTTCATTACAATTATTATTGATTTCTTTATATTGATTGCACTGAAATGCACATGTTACTTGAAAATTATTATGTATATGATGATGTACTATGTACAAATCAAAAATAAAAGTTCTGCTCTCTTCTGGACACATACCGCGTTCACGTAGCTCCGCCAATCTCGTCGATGATGACCCGTAAACATTAGAAGCGTCAACAAAAGAGGTGAGACTGGTCGTCTGTTGTCTGACTGATAGACCTGGTGAATTATCTACAAATATATCAGATACTGATAGACCCGGTGAACTACTTACAAATATATCAGATACAGATAGACCAGGTTGAATTACCTTCAAATATATCAGATACTGATAGACCAGGTGAATTAGCTACAAATATATCAGATACTGATAGACCAGGTGAATTACCTACAAATATATCAGATTAAACGGCTGACTGATAAACCAGGTGAATTACCTACAAATATATCAGGTACTGATAGACCAGGTGAATTAGCTACAGATATATCAGATACTGATAGACCAGGTGAATTATCTACAAATATATCAGATACAGATAGACCAGGTTGAATTACCTTCAAATATATCAGATACTGATAGACCAGGTGAATTAGCTACAAATATATCAGATACTGATAGACCAGGTGAATTATCTACAAATATATCAGATACAGATAGACCAGGTTGAATTACCTTCAAATATATCAGATACTGATAGACCAGGTGAATTAGCTACAAATATATCAGATACTGATAGACCAGGTGAATTATCTACAAATATATCAGATACAGATAGACCAGGTGAATTACCTACAAATGTATCAGATACTGATAGACCAGGTGAATTACCTACAAATATATCAGATACTGATAGACCATGCGAATAACCTACAAATATATCAGATACTGATAGACCAGGTGAATTAGCTACAAATATATCAGATACTGATAGACCAGGTGAATTATCTACAAATATATCAGATTAAACGGCTGACTGATAAACCAGGTGAATAACCTACAAATATATCAGGTACTGATAGACCAGGTGAATTTCCTATAAATATATCAGATTAAAAGGCTGACTGATAGACCAGGTGAATTACCTACAAATATATCAGATTAAACGGTTGACTGATAGACCAGGTGAATTACCTACAAATATATCAGATACTGATAGACCAGGTGAATTACCTACAAATATATCAGATACTGATAGACCAGGTGAATTACCTACAAATATATCAGATACTGATAGACCAGGTGAATTACCTACAAATATATCAGATACTGATAGACCAGGTGAATTACCTACAAATATATCAGATACTGAAAGACCAGGTAAATTACCTCCAAATATATCAGATACTGATAGACCAGGTGAGGAACCTACAAATATATCAGATACTGAAAGACAAGGTTAATTACCTCCAAATATATCAGATACTGATAGACCAGGTGAGTTACTTACAAATATATCAGATACTAATAGACCAGGTAAATTACCTACAAATATATCAGATACTGATAGACCAGGTGAATTACCTACAAATATATCAGATACTGATAGACCAGGTGAATTACCTACAAATATATCAGATACTGATAGACCAGGTGAATTACCTACAAATATATCAGATACTGATAGACCAGGTGAATTACCTACAAATATATCAGATACTGATAGACCAGGTGAATTACCTACAATATATCAGATACTGATAGACCAGGTGAATTACCTACAAATATATCATGTACTGATAGACCAGGTGAATTACCTACAACTATATCAGATACTGATAGACCAGGTGAATGACCTACAAATATATCAGGTACTGATAGACCAGGTGAATGTCCTATAAATATATCAGATACTGATAGACCAGGTGAATTACCTACAAATATATCAGATACTGATAGACCAGGTGAATTACCTACAAATATATCAGATACTGATAGACCAGGTGAATTACCTACAAATATATCAGATACTGATAGACCAGGTGAATTACCTACAAATATATCAGATACTGATAGACCAGGTGAATTACCTACAAATATATCAGATACTAATAGACCAGGTGAATTACCTACAAATATATCAGATTAAACGGTTGACTGATAGACCAGGTGAATTACTTACAAATATATCAGCTTAAACGGCTGACTGATAGACCAGGCGAATAACCTACAAGTATATCAGATACTGATAGACCAGGTGAATTACCTACAAATATATCAGATTAAACGGCTGACTGATAGACCAGGTGTATTACCTACAAATATATCAGATACTAATAGACCAGGTGAATTACGTACAAATATATCAGATAGTGATAGACCAGGCGAAAAACCTACACATATATCAGATACTGATAGACCAGGTGAATTACCTACAAATATATCAGATACTGATAGACCAGGTAAATTACCTACAAATATATCAGATACTGATAGACCAGGTGAATTACCTACAAATATATCAGATACTGATAGACCAGGTGAATTACCTACAAATATATCAGATACTGATAGACCAGGTGAATTACATACAAATATATCAGATAAAAAGGCTGACAGATAGACCAATTAAATTACCTACAAATATATCAGATACTGATAGACCAGGTGAATTACCTACAAATATATCAGATACTGATAGACCAGGTGAATTACCTACAAATATATCAGATACTGATAGACCAGGTGAATTACCTACAAATATATCAGATACTGATAGACCAGGTGAATTACCTCCAAATATATCAGATACAAATATATACAAATAGCAACTAATATACCATGTGAATTACCTACACATATATCAGATTAAATGGCTGACTGATAGACCATGTGAATAACCTACAAATATATCAGATACTGATAGACCAGGTGAATTACCTACAAATATATCAGATACTGATAGACCAGGCGAATTACCTGCAAATATATCAGATACTGATAAACCAGGTGAATTACCAACAAATATATCAGATACTGATAGACCATGTGAATTACCTACAAATATATCAGATACTGATAGACCAGGTGAATTACCTACAAATATATCAGATACTGATAGACCAGGTGAATTACCTACAAATATATCAGATAACTGATAGACCAGGCGAATTACCTACAAATATATCAGATACTGATAAACCAGGTGAATTACCTACAAATATATCCGATACTGATAGACCAGGTGAATTACCTACAAATATATCAGATTAAACGGCTGACTGATAGACCATGTGAATTACCTACAAATATATCAGATACTGATAGTCCAGGTAAATTACCTACAAATATATCAGATACTGTTAGACCAGGTGAATTACCTACAAATATATCATATACTGATAGACCAGGTGAATTACCTACAAATATATCAGATACTGATACACCAGGTGAATTACCTACAAATATATCAGATACTTAAAGACCAGGTGAATTACCTACAAATATATCAGATACTGATAGACCAGGTAAATTACCTCCAAATATATCAGGTACTGATGACCAGGTGAATTACCTACAAATATATCAGATACTAATAGACCAGATGAGTTACCTACAAATATATCAGATATTGATAGACCAGGTGAATTACCTACAAATATATTAGATTTAAAGGCTGACTGATAGACCAAATTATCTACAAATATATCAGATACTGATAAACCAGGTGAATTACCTACAAATATATCAGATACTAATAGACCAGGTGAATAACCTACAAATATATCAGATACTGATAGACCAGGTGAATTACCTACAAATATATCAGGTACTGATAGACCAGGTGAAATACCTGCAAATATATCAGATACTGACAGACCAGGTGCATTACCTACACATATATCAGATACTGATAGACTAGGTGAATTACCTACAGATATATCAGATACTGATAGACCAGATGAGTTACCTACAAATATATCAGATATTGATAGACCAGGTGAATTACCTACAAATATATTAGATTTAAAGGCTTACTGATAGACCAAATTATCTACAAATATATCAGATACTGATAGACCAGGTGAATTACATGTACCTTCAAATATATCAGATACTAATAGACCAGGTGAATTACCTACAAATATATCAGATACTGATAGACCAGGTGAATTACCTACAAATATATCAGATACTGATAGACCAGGTGAATTACCTACAAATATATCAGATACTGATAGACCAGGTGAATTACCTACAAATATATCAGATACTGATAGACCAGGTGAATTACCTACAAATATATCAGATACTGATAGACCAGGTGAATTACCTACAAATATATCAGATACTGATAGACCAGGTGAATTACCTACAAATATATCAGATACTGATAGACCAGGTGAATTACCTACAAATATATCAGATACTGATAGACCAGGTGAATTATCTACAAATATATCAGATTAAACGGTTGCTTAATCTAATGTTAACAAATTCTGAACTTTTACACGATCGTTTTATTTTTGTATTTGTGCTGCGAATAATAGATTTGTATTATATTTGATACAATAAAACTTGCACTCTTAAACTTTAAAATGCAACTACATTGCTGTTATAAAACCTTAAGTCTTAATAAAAATTACACCCTTGTACCGTCAGTTACAACGTAGATTTGATTATTTCATAATATCAGTAAATCAGTTAATCATTATTTCTTCGTACGAACTATTTTCTTCGAAGGGTTTTTAAACCTTTTTCTATGCATTCAACAGGTCAAAGTTCTTTCTAATACACAATACGTTATAAAAATGGATATTTGCCACTTCGGTGTGCATAAAAAATATTCAAAATTCAATAATGCCCAATAAAAATAGACGTTATCAGTATGCAATAGTGAATATGAAATATACAAACCATCGGGGCAAAACACTGGTGCTGATCTTTTAACTTCCATACAATGTCCGGGTACAAGTATATCAGACGTTCCTCCTAATATTCCTCTAGGTACTATTATGTTAAAACAATTATCCACGCTGAAAACAACAACAACAATGCCAAAAACAACAACAACAGCAACAAAAACAACAGCTGTCAATATAAATCCGTTACATCAAGTTCTCGAATTCAATATCATATACACAAAAAATTATATCTTAGGGTAATTTAAAATTTTGTTATTTTAGTGCTAATTGATGTTATCAGGTTTGTTTTCACGTACAAAAGCGTGGATAAAACTTAGAATCTATATAATTGGCAACGTAAGATAATTCTTTAAAATTATATAGAGTTGTATCCCTTGTTAGACAATTCTTTCCTTATTTCATTTCATTTCATTTCAGTTGAGATAATTATATCATTCTTTTATGTGTGATTAAGTGATATAATTTAAAACAAACTTACTCTTTTCTTGCATATGCTTCACAACAGTCTTCTACATCTATAATATAAATGAAGACACATTCTCAGATAAAATGTTACGGTGTATATAACAAAATAAAATCACTCCACTTTTTAACGTTACCCATAATATAAGTAGTATGTTAAGGATGTGAAATTTTATCTGTTCAGTTTGAGGTGAGTATAACACAGTCAGTTAAACAGTTTATTCATGTCGTTACGATACGACATAACATGTTACAATATTAGTATAGATAATACTAATCACTTTGTTTTTGTATTACTAATTATCATATATTAAAATCTATCATCCCCAAAAAGGTCAATGATGGTCACGTGGTTGTCTGTCTAAACATGTGGTTTCTTGGTTCGAGCCCCACTAACAGCAAAACCATATTTATCAAGGTGACAAATGTTTTGGAAGCTTGCGCGATAATGATTGCTAAACATGCCAGTATAACAGTTTTAATTTTTTTTCAATTTAGTTAACATAAAAATTCACAGATAAAAAAGAGACAGTTACCATCTTGTTCAGGAGTTCGTGCTATGTCATGGTCGAGAAACTGTCCGAAGCCCATCACGTGCAGAGTAAGTTCTTTACTCAAAGTTTCAGACAAGAAAAAGTTCCGATGTACAATATCACTAACGGTCCGTGCATTAGGTAAACCTTTTGTCCTTGGCAGACTGATTTTATCATCTAAAATTAATATATACCGCTTATTTGTTAAATTATAAATATTAGATTTCAGTGCTTTCATATATTTTATTCAAATGACATTATACCTCAGAAACGAACACATTATCAGTTCTTTAGGAAAGGCAAAACATGTTTAAAATAACCGTTTAAATAATAGTTATGTAACATATAAATTGTTATTACCTGATAAAAGTAGCGATAAATGTGAAATACGTTGTCATAAAATAGCAAAATGTAAACAAAGTAGAATTTTGTCTTCCGTACATAATACTTATATCACTTTATAATAATAACTGTACTAATTGAAAACGGAACAACAGATAGTGATTGTTAAGATACTATGTCCATAAAATACTTTCTGGAAAACTATAACATGCATACTTCTGATAAAAAAGCTTTCCTGAAATGAAAATAAAAGCCATTCTGGGGCATATTATGCTTTTTCAATAAAATCAAAAGAAATTATAGACCATGTTCGTAAACTGTTCATCCTATATCTAATAAGTATAATAATTTCATTACTTCAATATGTAAACAAAGTCAAATTGACATCTTTGTTATCAAAATCTTTTATTAAACAATTTAAAGAAACTTCACTGAGATTCAACGCCTAAAATCTAAAAATTGAATTTCTTACACAGATCCGCTGGGGCCCTTATAGCAGAAAGATAAACAAAAGATGATTAAGAAAGATATTCAGAAATGAATTAAAAAAACCGTATTATTATTATTTTTTTTGCTATTTCAGCCCGTTTTGAGGGAAAAGCGTTGCATCATATTCAACATTAATCTCCGAAAAATATTTCTAGTCCTGTCATGTCAAAAAACTTCAGAGGAGTCCCTTTAATGTATATTCGAATATCATGCTTGTTTTATCTTTCGAATATCATGCTTGTTTTATCTTCGAATACCATGCTTGTTTAATTTTCGAATATCATGCTTGTTTAATCTTCGAATATCATGCTTGTGAAATATTCAAATATCATGCTTGATTTATCTTCGAATATCATGCTTGTTTTATCTTCGAATATCATGCTTGTATAATCTTCGAATGTCATGCTTGTTAAATATTCAAATAAAATGCTTATCTTATCTTCGAATATCTTGCTTGATTTATTTTCGAATATCATGCTTGTTTAATCTTCGAATATCATACTTGTTTTACCTTCGAATATCATGTTTGTTTTATCTTCGAATATCATACTTGTTTTATCTCCGAATGCCATGCTTGTTTAATCTTCGAATATCATGTTTGTTTTACCTTCGAATATTATGCTTGTTTAATCTTCGAATATCATGCTTGTTTAATCTTCGAATATCATGCTTGTTTAATCTTCGAATATCATGCCCGGTTAATCTTCGAATATCATGCTTGTTTTATCTTCGAATAGCATGCTTGTTAAATCTTCGAATATCATGTTTGTTAAATATTCAAATATAATGCTTGTTAATCTTCGAATATCATGCTTGTTTTATCTTTGAATATCATGCTTGTTTTATCTTCGAATATCATGCTTGTTAAATCTTCGAATATCATGCTTGTTTTATCTTCGAATATCATGCTTGTTTTATCTTCGAATATCATGCTTCTTTTATCTTCGAATATCATGTTTGTTAAATATTCAAATATAATGCTTGTTAATCTTCGAATATCATGTTTGTTTTACCTTTGAATATCATGCTTGTTTAATCTTCGAATATCATGCTTGTTTAATCTTCGAATAACATGCTTGTTTTATCTTCGAATATCATGCTTGTTATATCTTCGAATATTATGCTTGTTTAATCTTCAAATATCATGCTTGTTTAATCTTCGAATATCATGCTTGTTAAAATTCGAATATCTTGCTTGTTAAATCTTCAAATATCATGCTTGTTTAATCTTTGAATATCATGCTTGTTTTATCTTCGAATATCATGCTTGTTTAATCTTCGAATATCATGCTTGTTTAATCTTCGAAAATCATGCTCGTTTTATCTTCGAATATCATGCTTGTTTTATCTTCGAATATCATGCTTGTTTAATTTTCGAATATCATGCTTGTTAAATCTTCGTATATCGTGTTTTATCTTCGAATATCATGCTTGTTTTATCTTCGAATATCATGCTTGTTTTATCTTCGGAAATCATGCTTGTTTTATCTTTGAATATCATGTTTGTTTTATTTTCGAATATCATGCATCTCTTGCATTGTATTTAAATACAGTATAATGATTGTAATACATGTTATTATATATATATATATATATATATATATATATATATATATATATATATATATATATATATATATATATATATATATATATATATATATATATATATATGTGTGTATATATATAAATGTATTATTGTCATATTATAATTGTTATACATGAAATAATGATATACATAAATGTATTATTGTCATAAATTTACCGTAATCATTAGGGAGAACTCGTTGTTGTATACTCCCTGCCATTCCCCAGTCCGGGTTGTTGCGGTTATTGCACGACCCATCGATATTTCTGTATTTGCTTTTGTAGTTGCACTTATTTGGTTTCGGAACATCACATTTGAAACCATCAATACTCTTCAAACTCTCTGCCAGTGAATTGTTTTGTAAGTCTCTGAGACTGTAGCCATTTCTAATGAAAAAATATAAACCTTTCTTTAAAACATATTAGCAATTATTTTTACACTCCTCGCTTGTATACACTGTTATACAACACTTGTATTATACAACACTTGTATTATACAACACTTGTATTATACAACACTTGTATTAAACAACACACGTATCTTTCATGCTATAATTAGTGTATTTGTCTTGATATAACAACAATAAAAACTTGAATAAAAAGATGATATTCTATATATAAATACAGAATATATTGTCATCGAGTGGTATAAATATGATAATTTTTATATCACAAGATGAAAATAAATCCCGTATTTATAGAAAAAATTCTTGAATTTTCTCCAATATACAAACATACCTAACATAACATATCAGTATACAAAAAGTTTAACATAGCATGTCAATATATATCATGCCTATTATAACTTGCAAATATACAAACATGCCTAGCATAATACGACACTATATAAACATGCCTTACATAACATGCAAATTCACAAGCATGCCTAATAAAACATGCCCATATACAAACACACCTAACATAACATGTCAGTATACAATATTTGCCTAACATAGCATGTCAATTTAAAAACATGCCCAGCATAACATAACAATATATATAGATGCCTCACATAACATGCCACATATTATGCCAATATGACAATTTGATAATATTTTAGTGCACCGGTACTTCAATATACATTGTATGTAATTACAGCAGACAGGGCGATCCGTTTTTGTTTATTGCAGCAGTTAACAATGAAGTATATAAAGTTCATTTTAAAGTGATTTGGTCCATTATGGCCGGTGAATTATTCCTCAAATAAAATGTGAATATTATCTACTATCATGTGTGATAACCAAGCACTAAATAATTATATATATATATGTTGTTGGCAAGTGTGAGATACAGGATCCGTTATAACAAAACTTTATAAACTTTCCAAAACAAAATATTATTCACCAAATAAATGCACATACGGGACCACTTAGAACTCGATGAACATTTTTTTCCAAGAAATATCTAATAAGAATATCCAAATGATAAATGTTTATGGTTTTAATCAATATGTGAATTTTTTTATATTTAAGACCACTTTACTTTAACAAACTACTTTGTAATCACAGTTAATAAACGAATTCTTTGTTCCATGAACTGATAACTTCTGTACATGCAAGGGCAGAGGTACAGTGCGAATGACCGTAGAAACTATTTCATGAACAATTACAACAAAAGTGACCTGCACCGTCGGGTCGCCCGATTCACAGACAACCGCTCTACCTATTGAGGTAACTGGACGCTACCTTTCCTACGAGAACAGGAAGAAGACTCGTTAATACATTGTGTTTATTCCCTATAACGCATTTATATGATTCAGAGGCACTGTTAAAATTTCAGAAATACAAGATTTCCTGAAATAGATGATAATTTATACGTGTATATTACCTGATACTTTATACGTGTATATTACCACTTTTATACACTTGCACTCAAATTAAAGTGTACTTAAAATGTCGTAAATTAAACTGAATATGTCCATAAAACAACAATAAAACTGCAATAAAACAAGAATAGAAACTACCCATGCAAAAATAGTAAACAATATTTTATACAAATTAGAAACCAACCAATGAACGGTCATAGACACATTTATAACCTATGACTCCAAAGCACGTGATTTCTTCTTCGGTTTCCCCGCAAACTAGTTTAATTACTGAGTGTTTTATAAACTTCTTCGTTGCATCTTGCCTGATCTAATGCTTTTAAATAACCCATACCCTAGTAAATTATTTAAATGATCATACTAGGCTTCCATTTTTTTTTTGAAGATCACATTATCAGTATAAGAGAAATTAAGATGAAATTTGAAGCTGGTCCACTAATAGTGTAAAGAACCTGGTCAAGCTGTGACGATGACATGCCTCCAGGCTGATGACAACAACCATCCACTTTTGAGTTTAATACTAAGTTTATACATATAGACAATTCATTTGCTAGTAAATCGCTACCAATTACTTTAAGATATTTTAAAATGAATTACACGAACGTCAACTTTTTAAGATTTATCACCCTGCAATGTTCGTATAATAATAATCATTTTTGCGCGTGTTTTGTAATTTTTTAATTCTACTAAAGTTTATGACTGACAGAAATCAATGTCAATATCACACAGGACATAAATATAATAGAATAAATGAAATGAACATTGTCAAAACGGAAGCATACTATTTTTGGCTTATAAAAAAATCCAAAAATCGAATAATTTACCCAATAATTTCTTGTATTTCAGAATCATTTATTTGCACTCATGGCCAAACACATTATCATACAGTAAAAGGAAGAAAGAATTTGCATCAAATTAGGTCCTCAAAATGATTAAATTTCTTGATAAACGTCATTTATAGTGATAGCAGGGATATTATTACATATTAAATATTCTATTCATTTTAATTTACGGTAACACCCAGCTATAATTCAATAAAATAAGTGAGCATAACAAATACGTTAAACTATATAATTAATGTATAACATAAACCGATATGTAGGGACAACCTTGTAAGCTAATATAAAATAAAAATATTTTAAATATTATCTTCCTTGTTGATTTGAGAGCGTATCTTCAAAAAATATATCGTTTGAATGTAAGATGTACTTTAAATAAATGACAAAATAAAATGTTGAGATTTTACGCAGTTTGAAATAGTTAAGTTTACACTTACTCGTCAATTAAAATTCGTAGTGCGAGAAAGGCGTTGTTAGCGTTTCTCCCTGCTGTAGTGTTGCCATAGTTACGAGTACCGTGATGTTGGGACAGGGGACATTTCAATACACCTCTTTTTCTCTTGTCATCTAGAATAAAAAATAATTCACATTTCAGTGTATGATTTTCTGAATAATTGAGAAAAAAATAATACTGCGAAAAAGACTGCAACAAACAATTAAATAAATAAATAAATAAATAAATAAATAAATAAATAAATAAATAAATAAATAAATAAATAAATAAATAAATAAATAAATAAATAAATAAATATAAATAAATAAATAATATAAAATAAATACATGTAAAAGGGAAAAAGATACCAAAAGATCTTAATGGTGATATGCTATGGCTTTTTATCGTTAAAATAAACGTTAAATATAAATATAAATATTAATATGAAATATCGTTAAAAATGTAATCACAAGTATATTACAATTTAGATAAGATATATTATATCGGAGCAACATAATTTCACTATCAAATCTTGGAGACACTCTATGATATACGGTGACATTACAGGGACTCCACTGACATATCCTAACATGATTTTGGATATTGGTTTGAACAATATTTTACATCATTTACTTCATCCGTTTTTCTAAAATAATCTTGACATCAAAACCACTAAAGGCGTTGCAACGATTTCTTTCTAAAAAAATCAAATCGGACTAAGAATCGCACAATTATCAAAATAATTCTCAGTATTTTCACATCTTAGGGATAGATAAACTAGACAGCAGTTCAATGTGTCGACAACAGTATTACTTTATAACAACAGTATTACTGTATACATGTCATGAGGGAATGGATATAGCCTGTCAGGACGTGTCCGGTGTTTATATTGTTTGTTTGTTTCATTTTACGCCTTTTCCCAACAGTATTTCAGTCATATAGGCGGGTAGTTTCCTAACCATCGTTGCTGGAGAGTTACACCAGAACTAGACTACCTTCCTCCGCGCTAAACTACCAAAGCATCTCCCGGGGATCGAACCCACGCCAGAGAGGTAACTGGATTAGAAGTCATCGACTCTAACCCCTCGACCACGGGGGCTGTCCCGGTCTTTATAAAATCGTCTTTATAAAATCAAGTCTATGTTGTGAAAGTTTATATCTTAATGACAATATCAACGAAACACTGGCCTCGTAAAAACTTTATTTCATAAGAATAAGGAAAGAACATATCACACATTTTCGATGAGTTATCGCATTAGGTGAAATTAGAAACAAGAATATCCATTCTCAAGCAAAAGCGATTTATAGGCAACAAGCATGGATAAAGCTTTAAAAGAATCAAACAATAACAAAAATAACTAATTTAATAGAAATGTGATTTTGTTAAACAAAGAAGATTAAGAAATATGTCATTCATAATGAATTATTTATCAAGATATATATAAATGACACTCTGCAGAATATGATCAGAAAATATGGTTAAAACATTCAAAGATAGACAAATTTAAAATCTTGAGACAAGATAAATAAAATGTCAAAACTCACCATCTCTTTCTAAATATTTTATTTCTTTTTTTACTAGATTAATATGTCTTGCTTTATTAAATGCCACCTCCAGCTCATCTACCGTTGGAGATCGACCTTGACCTGGTGATTGCCCTTGATCTGGTGATTGCCTTTGACCTAGTGATTGCCTTTGACCTAGTGATTGCCTTTGACCTGGTGATGACCTGGTACCATCATAATCTGAGTCCGAGAACTGCGCTGACTGTTCCACTATTCTTGTCAAAAGAATAAGTATTGTAGCCAATAATATCTGCAAATAATCACATAAGTTTTTGCCTCATAACAAAGAAGGAAATGATCATTTTATGGTATTGTAACAAATTGCGAAAACAAAATTCAAAACGAAATCAAGTTGTTAAAGGAACTCAGCTGAGGTCCAAAAGCCTAAAACATAAAAAAATAATTTCTTACTTAAAGAGGTACTTAAAGATCCTGTAACTCTTTTTGTAAAGATATTACAGAATTTACATTTCATGTTAATAAAGGGAGTTAATTAAAAAATTAGTTTCTATAAAGTATAAGCCGAATTTTTCAATAAGAAATGAATGTATACATTTTAATGATTACATATAATGCATTTTTAAAACATTTGCAGTACAAATTTTACATATTCTTGAATGTTTGAAAATTGTTTTATAAGCATAATTATATAATTATATTAAATACAAAAAATAATATATATTATATATGGGGCCTCCGTGGCCGAGTGGTTAAGGTCGCTGACTTCAGATCACAGGTCCCTCACCGCTGTAGGTTCGATCCTCACTCGGGTCGAAATCTTTCATGTGAGGAAGCCATCCAGCTGGCTTACGGAAGGTCGGTGCTTCTACCCAGGTGCCCGCTCTTGCCTGAAATAATGCCCGGAGGGGCACCTGGGGTCTTCCTCCACCAATAAAGCTGGGAAAAAATCGACGAAAAAATCTCGGGGGGACGCTCTAGGATGGCCCGACTTGATAAACGCATTAATATATATATAATTACACATTTTAAATTTCACGTAAGTGTTGTTACCACTTAAATTACAACATACAAGAACTTTAAAACAGAAATATATGCAAACCATAAGTAGGATATATACTCAGATGTAAATTGAAAACCGTACAATTTATAAAATAATCATATAGTTCCTGTTGTTTTATCTCATAGAATAAAATCTTTATATTAACTTGATAAAATTAGACTTAAAATAATAGTTTCTGAAATTTTAGAATAAAAAAATATCGTTATTTAACAATATATGGGCATTTTTCAGTTGATCAAAATATTGAACTTGATCCTAAAATTGATCCTTATTTTGATCCGATTATTTTTGTATTTGTTTTGTTATTAGTCAATGTCATCCCAAAATAGGTTTTTTTTTTGCTGTGCAAATCAGCATTATTTTACATGTTATGAACCATTTATTTTTTTTTGTTACAAAATATCATCAACTTTAGAGTAAGAAAACATCGAAATTCGCTCCAGATCCTGGTCTTTTGTTAGTGAACACGGGCCTGGCTTTTTAATTAAGAAACTGCAAGGTTTTTCTTCTGAGAAGGAAGTTTGCTGTATTATAAATTCGCTGTAAAGTTAAAACACCATGTAACCTGTCACAAAACTTTATTACTATATACATGTGTAACACTCGCTGAGTGTAGGGACACTTTTTCTGCTTGGTTTGATCACGTGACCAACAAAACACTGAAGTTTTGTTTCTGCACGTGTGTAACATTTGTTTTATTATATAAGCCATCTGAAGTCCATATAGGCGACTCACAAAATAAATTTATCGGTAATTGTAACGTTTTGCTAATCTAGATCAAATGATACAAATATTATTCCATTCCTGAAGAAACAAATGGCTTCATGACAAACCATCTGTTTTCATTGCTTTACAAAAGTTTTTTGTTTGTTTTGTTTTACGCCGCACCAACGCGGTATAGTGTCACATGGCGACTTGCAGCTTCTATCTGGTAGCGAAAAGATCGGTAACCTAATCATTATCGTGCATTTACAATTAAGATTATCATAATTTACACTTACTAATGAATACGAACGCAAACCATCTCATCCTTTAAGTTACTGGATATTAGCTTCCTACATGAAATTTAATCCAAATATTCCCTAGTCAGGATCCGTTAACATTCCTAGTGGTAGAGGGATATGGTTTGTGAAGTCAACGACTTTAAACCATTTCACGATGCCCACTTAATACGAAAGTCACGAAAGAAATCATAACAACAAATCATTTCTTCATTTTACAAAATTAAGATTTAAATCATTACTTTTACACTTTCCCATAAATTTATGCGAATTTTACTTTAACAAATCTTCTAATACTACTATATAAATCAGTGAAAACATATGTTAAAAAATTATGCATTTTTAGAAACTACATGTCTTTCAAAGATTAACCAATCATTATTTAATTTCACAAGACATGGATGTTTTACGTTACACAATTGTTTAATTGTCATTTCTACTAATATAATGTATATCTATGGATTTCAGTAAAAAAAGTGCATACTAATTTAAAATGAAACTCGTCCTCAATAGCATAAAGATTACATAGATAAACATATACAATATCGTTCATTTCAACCATCGATTCCGATCTTTATCAACAAAGAATATAAAGACATATTAACGTATTTAACAAAAATCTTTTTTTTTCAGATATAAGGTAGATGTAAACATTTTTTTAAACTTGACACAATCTTTAGGTTCATATACAAATTTATTTTTTACTATTACCACTCCTTGCACCGGAAGAACATATCTTTTTATTGCTCAGTAGGGGGTGTTTAATATGAAAGCAACCTTCAATGATTTATTTTGAAGTACCATTTGCAATGATTAAATAAATATTTATTTTTCATTAAAATGCTAAAAATATGATGTCATTACCGTGTGTGTCTTTTATTCTATTTTTATTCTAATGCAGAAACACGAAGTTAAATTATCTTGGGACGGGTGTAAATTGTTATATAACAGGATGTTGAAACTAATAAAGGTATTGTGATAAAGCGACGTACTTCAGCTTATCAAATAAATATGCGCGAACTTTATTATAATATTTCAGTTAACAATATGGAAATTTCTAACTCCTTACTCGGGTGTGACACCACAAGATTATTTCATTGCGTATTTTATCCAAGAAGCCGTTTGTATTTCAAGGATTTTGACGCTTGTGATATTGAAAAACAACATTTCCTAAACTTATTGTACTTTTATATAATTGTTTATAAGATTTATTTTGAATAACTAAATTTAAGGGATTTATGTCAAAGATACATTGCCTTTTTCATCTACTTTATCTTTTTGAAGTACAGCCGGTGTTCAGTGTTATTTTAGTCACGTGCAAAACTGACAGTAAGAAAATATTGGCTCAAAAACGATTGACTTAGCGCGTGCTAGCCTTGCTATAGAATCTAATCTTACCCATGACCGCGTTCTTTCAGTACTTTGATTCTAAATTGTGTAAGTAAAACGTACCAGAATGGGCAATTTTAAACATTTTGTACCATGTTTTATATGAAATTAAGTGCTACCTATGGAAGCTCTTAAGATTTAATAACATTTAAAAACAAGCATAAACCTTGCAACATATAAAAGAGAGATATTTTACTGACTTAAATGCTCGCATTTAGTTCCGTTCTAAGTATCTTATGAATGAATTGGTGGCGTTCGGCCTATCAGCGAAATGTTGCGAGTGGTTCCAAATATATAGTCCGCCATTGTTAATCACACATCAGAGTTGTTGTTGCTTTTGCCCTATCTTTAACATGATGATATATGAAAATGGTTTTGTTACGAGTGCTTATCAAAGATAATGATTTTTTTTCTTGATTTTCACTTCATACTTCTACCGGAAATGTTATTTATGATACAAGACTGCAGCGTCTTCAAAAAACAGTCTGAGTTGTGAAGACGCTTTCATCTAATGTTTTTTCGAAAAGCGTCCTGTAATCTTGATACAATTCAAATATACAACCAGCCAAATTACTTTTTAAATAGCACCGTCCTACTATCTTAGGTTTTTTTTCATATGTATTAGACTAAGACATATAGATTTGTTTTAATTTGAATGTGTTTTTAATTAATTAACCTGTAATAGTCATACATTTTATCTATGAGCGCTACAGCCCTCGGGACACGGGATGGGGGGAGGGGCGAGGGGGCATGTCCCCGCTCGAACTTTCCGCGTTAGGCCTGTAAAATAAATCAACAATCAAACAGCATTACAAAAATTCAAAGATCACACTATAAGGCAGATCCAGGTTGTATTTTCTTTTTTTACTTCTTAAAAATTGAATAAAAAATCACCCTTTCTTATCATATGAAGTATAGCGCGCGCTAATACCCATACATGCAGTCTTATATTACTTGCAAAGAAATAGGGGAAATTAAAGTTTTTCTATAAATACAGGATTTATTTTCATCGAGTGGTATGAAAATATATATATTTCATGAGTGGCGGTAGCCACGAGTAAAATATGATAATTTTCATACATCAAGATTATGGGATAAACTAAAATTTTCTGTTTATTATTTTTGTCTTTTTTGACATTACAATTTGAAAGATTTTCTCTTAAATTTTGTGAATTTTATGAATTTAGAAGAAAGTAGTCCGACGGGACATCAGTGAAAATACGGAAAATATGTTTCACTGCAGTGGAAAATACATTTTTACAGTGAAAATACAGAAAATATGTTTCACTGCAGTGAGAAATAAATTTTTACAGTGAAAATACGGAAAATAAGATACTCATTTTATTTCATCAATATTTCTCAATATTTCATTTATATGTAAATGACACAATTTATTTTGGGTTGGATCTTTTGTATATTGAAAATAATAAATAAATAAATAAATAAATAAATAAATAAATAAATAAATAAATAAATAAATAAATAAATAAATAAATAAATAAATTAGGAATTAAAATAGGAAAATATTTCCAAATATTCGTTGTTTAACAAAAAACTGAGATCATAGATTGAATCAAATGAAAACAAATGCATGTCGATTCAAATTTCTTTAAGTAATCAATATATAAAAAAATCAAAATTGTAAACAACTGACATACAATTTTCATGTAAGTGCTTCATTATATGTGCTGTCGGAAATCAACATATTTTATTAACCACAGTCAGGTCAGAGGATCATACATTTGTATAAGTTTAGTTCCCTATGAGTTTAATTTGTTTAATTGATTAAGTAAGAAATAGAGCAATTTGAAATAATCGTGTCTGTTTTCCAAGTGGACACGTGGTATTTGAAGGGACATACCATACGACATAATTATTATATTAACACGTCACGATACATGACGATGTATCACGGGATATGGTGATTTTTAAAATGCACATACATTTTATTCTATTTTATTTTTTTTTACTTTTTAACTAGTATATAGTAAAGTGTTAATTCCGTGTATTGATGATTTTTTTTCAACATATTATTGGTGTTCAATCCAGCGTTACTAAGATAATACTGTATTCATATTATTCTAAAAAAAGGAAAGAAACTAAAAATTTTAAGGGCAATTTAGCCCCAACATACTGTAACTTAAATTTCTGATAAACATTTTTCTTCAACATTTTTACTGTTTTCTTTTCCAAACAGTACTTACTTCTTATATATGAACCGTTTTTTTTGTTGCTTTTTTCGTCAATTTGATTATTCGTAAAGTTATAGTGATTAAGTTTTTTGTATGGAAGACAAAATACCACATTAATAACGTTTGAAAACTTATTTCACTTTCAATGCAGTTGTCACAATGTAATAAGCATGTAACATGTTCTTAATCTATTTTTCAAACATTATGAAACACAGATTTGTATTTTTATTCATGTACTTATTTCTGAGGACTAATGTGTGTTTTAAATAAACATGTATACATTTCATTTGAAATTGTTTTAATTGAAATTGAGATTGGTTTTATACTCTTCAGTTTAAAGTGGAATATGAAACATAATAAAAAGACTAACCTTCATTTCTCCAATTATTTCCCTGTACTCAAAGATGTTTCACTGCAAGCAGACGGGGTATATATTAAAGAATGTCCCGGGGTTTTATACACGACTTCTTATTGTCACGTGATAATTAACGCGGATATTAGTAAGTTGCAAACATGTTATGTCATGACTGAACTGGAAAAATAAAAGATATTCATGAACCGGAATTCCAGATCATATTTCAATAAAACTAAACACGCGGACGTAAAATTCTAAGAATTTTTTTAACGCAGGGCGATTTACAAGTGAAACAGATACGTGTAGGCCATAATGTTTTGTAATATAAAGATTAAAAAAAAGATTTATTAGCAAAGTGAAACATCATAAAATTATCGCATTTTATCGCATTATCGCATTGCTGATTCATTTCTATAAGTTTTTGCATTCAGTAAATCATAAAATAATGTTACGTTTATACTTTTCTCACGGATAGATGGTTTCGGTACATCTATATATGGTGGCTGATTTGGAACACTTTTGTGCTTGTCCTGTTGTCGCTAGCGATAGTACGACAAAACACAAGACGGTGCGTAGTCGCACTGTCGTATTGTCGTCCTTTGGCTAACGATGCACGCCAAATAGCGCGTTGTCGTGCGGCGTGTTATCGCGATGTCACATTGTCGGTCGGCTAAAATTAATTTAATAAATCAATCAATATATATATATATATAAGCCAAGCGACAGGGCGACATCGCTAGCGACACGACGACAAGACAACAGTTAGACAACGCGCCTGCGACAAGACGGGAGACGAAAATGCGATAACGATATAAGTTGTGTTTTTGCTGTCGACAACGCAACGAGCGAAGTGTACCAAATTGGCTACCATAACTATAGGGCACAAGTAACATCGATGAATCAATGTTTCATTGTACAAATAATTTTGAGATACAGATTCAGATATTAAACTGCTGCTGCGAGTTTTTACTGTTTTATCGTTTTTTAATGGATTTACCAGTTATATATACACGATTAACAGACATTACATTTGTAATGATGAACTTATGAAAAGTTATTTTTTTATGACGTTTTCCAAAGACAGGCATTTCTGTCTTACATTGGAAATGAAAAATAACATTAAAGTAAAGGTGAACTTCACTACACAGAAATATAAACGATCAATATTATCAAAAACATCAAAGGTTCCATGCTTTGTATAATAAATAATAATATAGACCAAATTAATTTAAGTTGTCTTATTAAAGGTACATAAGTTTTGATATATATATCAGGTGAACACAATTCTCCAATATTATGATATAAAATTCTCCTATAACAATTTTAAATTCCAATTTCTGAATAAATCGTAGCTTTGACGGCTACTTATTGGGAACAGTGCAGTTTTCAACAAACAAGTATACGGGTCACCGTGTTGTGTATGGATGTTTTCATGTCTAAACGAGACAGCAGTGGAAGAAAGTTGCATCACACTAGACAATTATCGATGGTTCTTTATTGCTGCAGTTTTATGCAGGAAGGAGAACAAGTTCCTTTTCTGGCAATAAATTTGAGGCGGCGGTCGCTGTCCTTGCTGAATAGTCTAGTTTATGGCTTGTAAAGTCTATAGCCGAACTTTGGATATAACCCCTTGTGATTGCAGTATGCTTTATTTAATACACGTTTATTATATTAGTTATAAAGATTGTTGACAGGTTATATGGCCTATTTGTAAATATAACCCGAGCCGCTAGGCGAGGGTAATATTGCAAACAGTCGTATATGTACGGCCATATAACCTGTCAACATTCTTTATAACTAATTTAAATATAGCAAGCATAATTTTGTAAGGAAAAAAGTAAGATTTCTTCACGAGTCGACAGCAGCCGTGTATGTAATAAGAATCTAACACTGGCTGCCGGTACAAACCGGAATATCTAGCTCGAGGGTAACTGTTTACGGCGGTAACGAGGCTCTGTCGAGTTTCCGCTTAAACAGTTACCCGAGAGCTAGATATTCCCGTCTGTTACGACAGCCGGTGTTTGATTCTTCTTCTTGCATATTACATACCAATTATTTTCAGAGCAGAAATTACGAAACCTGATATTTTCATTACGCACTTTTTTCTTATAGTAGCATATGAACTTACAACTTAATTCATAACGGTTAAGTGACGTCATCCTAAGAACGAAATTCATTCATAAAATGCGCGCAGCAATGACGTCATTTAAAGCACGCGACTTGTCTTACATGGGGTGTAAGACAGAGTTTTCTAGCACCGGTGTAAACGGTAGATTATAAGAATCTTACACCGGCTGTCGGTGCAGACGGGAATATCTAGCTCTCGGGTGACTGTTTACGGCAAAATCTCGGCAGACTCGGTGTTTGACGTCATCCTAAGAACGAAATTCATTCATAAAATGCGCGCAGCAATGACGTCATTTAAAGCACGCGACTTGTCTTACATGGGGGATGTAAGACAGGGTTTTCTAGCACCGGTGTAAACGGTAGATAATCCTGTCTGATATGCATATGCAAGAAAATCCTGTCTGACATGCAAGAAAAAACTATATAAACGTCACGATTATCCAATGAAAAGCGACGTTACAAACGTGCAGTATTATAAAAAACTATATGAACATCACGATTATCCAATGAAGTATGACGTTACAAACGTGCAGTATTATAACATTGCCTTTTATCGGATAATCGTGATGTTTATATATTTTATATACTAGGTTACTGTCAATCTACTAAGCCTATCTATTTTTCCCAAAATAAAGTAGTTCTGTTGCATTATAAATTCGTAACAAAGATGTATGACATGTGTATAGAATGATTTTTGCAATATAACTCGAGCCGGTATAAAACTAAGTCTTTTTCAAAAACGAAATAACCTGCCAGATATCTTTATAATAATATCTCACTAACTTTGGGCAACATGAACTTATTATTGTAAATTTATAAGGATTAAACTCCATACAGGATTGGAGCAGTACAGAAATCATGATCCCAAAATTGACAAATATCGTTTTTTTTTTGCTGATTTTTACAATTTTTCATTCACTATCATACATAAATCGGTGTGAAAAGATGAATAAGACCTGTTAAAATCCATTCCGTTGGGTAAAAAGGCAAGATTTTATCAATTAAGCGCTTTGTCTTGTATATACCGGAATATGGTATTTAGTGTGGTGTTCCAATCCTTATATTAGTCTCACTCAAAACACGTATAGCGAAACACGTTGCGTCACATGACAAAAGCATCTTTGGGAAATTCGCGACATACGCTTTTATTACACTAGAAAACAGTCTGTAACTTAAGATAATACTTGTTGTGAAATAGTTAAATTAATCTTTATAACAGGGTAGATACATGTGCTGTAACAGTTTTGTTAAAATAACGTATGTTCTTCTTCAACATTTATATCCGTGAAATATAACAGGATATTGGCTGATGTGTTTACTGTAATTTGATACATAACATTCTGTTATTTTCTTTAAATACAATGAAACACAATTATTTAGAGTTTTATCTCAATGCGATTGCATCCACACCTGACGTGTATAATTATATACAAAATAATTACCCTAGACAGGACATTCTCCCACACAATGAGATACGACAGATTTTATCAACAGCACGTGCAAATTCAAACCGCCCAACCACTCTAACAACTTTATCAACAAGAAGGATCTTTAAAAGATACTCGGTCGAAGTAAAACTGGTCAACTTGCACGTGTTATTTCTAGGTTTTCGAAGCATAAGCAATGCTTTCATGGCAATAATATAACAATTTCTTGTACCTAAGAAATTTTTTTTGTAAGTATCAGCATATTCTGATAATGATGTAGGACAACTTCTTTTTTTAACAGAATTGTTCGATATCATTATACAGTTATAAACTTACGTTTAGGACGAAGTTGTTTTATTTCCGGACCTGAGAGAAGTAAAGTAACTTTTATCAGTTTTGATAAAATAAAATGCATATTTTCAGTTTCCGTATTTCACTGTAAAAATGTTTTTTTCACTGCAGTTCCGTATTTTCACTGGTGTCTTGCCGGGCTACTTTCTTCCCCAAAATAGAATATAATAAACAAAAAAAAATAAGGTTTTCTATAAATGTAGGATTTATTTTCATCTTGAGATATAAAAAATATCCCATTTCAGTCGTGGCTCTCGCCATCTGTGAAAAATTATTGTTCATTTACGATTTAACAGAGAAAAACCAAGACAAAAATTTCAATAATGATATTTGATTAGGTTAATAAATACTCACGAATTATCACAAGATAACTGCAAAATTGGTCTACACTACTAAAGTATAGAATGATATATTAATCAATCCACAAAGAATTATTAATCATTATAAATATTCACCAAAACGCAGTACTAATATAACTTAAATGATATAAAACTTATTGCTAAACCAAATGGACCAGGGTGGGTAGGCAAAAAAGACATGAAACATGAAACATGATCACGACTATAAAATTAGTAACAGAATGGCAAGCCGGAGTAAAATAACATTAACCTTTATATAGATAGCTTAACCTATCAAATTCAATAATACAAATTTAAAATAATCGAATCAGAACCGTTGACCAACGTGATAAGCCGATTAAACCAGAGGTCAACTTGATTTAAATAAAAACTTTATCACTCACAAGAATTAATCGATTTCAATAGGTGTATTAAAAAACGCTATATCAATTTACATACCACTCCATGAAAATAAATCTTGTATTTGTAACAAAAGAATATTCTCTATTTATGATTGTTAAATATTATATGGTAAAGCAGAGTATAACAACAAGTGCTATTAAATGTTTTTTTTTTAATTAATTCAAATATAGTCAATTCAAGTCAAATATGTATATACACAAACCTTTATACATCGTCAACAGATTAATTATTGTTTACATTAGCAATAGCGATATAATATTGACGGTATAATTTCTTGTCTTTTCATTTTGGTCATTCTGTATTTACTTGAAAATTTTAATACAGATTTGTAAAAGTTCATTCATAATTGACTTTATTTTACGAACTGGCTCGTTTATCATCCGTTAAAACACGCTAACTGAGAAAATGTTTGGAAATTTATTTTTATTTACATTTAGTTAAATACGATATGTGCGCAGGTTTGTTTTGGCACTAGTACAATTTTCAAGGTCATATGCGAATATGTTTTTAAAAGTGAAAGACCATATAACAAAGATATTATTACATTATAGTGGACAGACAGTGGATTTCAAATTATTGAATGATAGTGTTGAGGACGAAAAAGAAAAAAAACCCTTTTGATACAA